ATGTAGTTAATACGCACAATCAATAATGTTTACGAGCACTCGTGATGACCGTTTCACAATGAGCCACTCCTCAGCTATAAACACGCGGTACATTGAAATTCTTATAGCAGAGCGATGCTTAATAATAGGGTACGCGCTGATGTCCCACTTTGCTATAAATTAGTGCCACGTTAATACATATCATACCGCGAGAACGTGTCACGTGTAAACGCGAGATGTACAATGATCTGTGAAATGTGAATCTTTATTGATACAGTTTGGGGTACTTGCACTAATTCGCGACAGTAACATTCTGCTGGAACACAATGACTCACGCGCTTGTCCGCGTATTTCTAGTACGATACTTGACGTTTCATCTTTTCTTCTCTTCAAAAATTCGAGACAATTATTTCTTCCATCGTGTTGCCACAAGCGATATTCGTTCAATAACATTAGTTAATGAAATTTAACGTTAGTGAAATCCAAATTCCCGAGTCAAGCGATATTCGTTCAATAACATTAGTTAATGAAATTTAACGTTAGTGAAATCCAAATTCCCGTATTTTCAATACAATTGAAAAGCTATACATCAGAACACGATTTCTGATAGGTTGAAATCTTATTAAGTATTGTTACTTCCTGTTCTGTTCAATCATGCGTTAGATTTAACATCATAAATTTAAGTTTATTACATTCTTACATTTAGAATAAATCTTTACCTCTGATTATGTAACACATGATGTGCCATAACATCTATTTAGCGCCAAACTGATGTGCTTGATTACACATTTTATCCTAGATTAAAAAATTTTTCATTTAGGTAAAACATTCCTTTTCCAATAAATAAACATTATTATTCCTATATCGGTCCTGTTTTATGATAGATCAAAGAATAATAGCATCGGAAATCTTTTCTATGGGTGTATACCTATTTCTCATATTTTTGCATGACTGCAACGCGACCTTGCGATTTCGATTCTTCAAATGGATTCATTCACGCGGCCGTTCTGAATATCATTAGTGTCTTCCTGTATCGTTGAGAGATCACTCGATCACGAAACGTTTAACACACAGCAATTATTCATTCGTACCACGGCGATGTCTCGACTATTAACACCTTTCAATTCCCTGAATGATCGAGAATGCGCATATCCGCGTTCCTTGTGACAACGGAATCGTCCTAACCGGAAATTTACGAGTGCGAAATAGAGTATAAAAGAGCGTGCTTGTTCTCGTAATTAAGTCGTCATATATATATCATACACATATATATATATATATATAAATGACATTGGCATTGATCCTGTCGATGTTAATTTCAAAAAAGAAGGAAGAATTGTTCTGGTGGTGTTCGATCGAGTTGAAAATTCACGTGCTATTGTTTGGAAGTTTTTAATAACAATTTTAATAATAAAGCTCAGCGACAGCGAGCATTGTTATTAAATTCTGAAATAAACAATTTGCAAGAAGCTAGATATTATACAAAAAAGCTGGTCGATTTGTTCGTTAACCTTATTACCAAGAAGGCACGATCTCGACAAATGTCTACATTAATACTGTATTCTTCAATACTATAGATTCGAGTTTCGGAACGAATAAACAACTCCGGTACCGTCCTCCAATTCCTGCGACCCATACAGCTTCGAAGTATTGATAAGACCCCTCTTTATTTCGTGGAGCTCAGCATTCCTTTCGTTTTTAAAGTGGTCCCTCTCGCTCGATCAATGTTTATAAACAATCGTAGGTGTAGCCGATGAAACGCTAGCACACGCTTTACATTAACCATTTCCTCTGCAAAGATCTGACAATGAGTCATTTATGATGGAAGCAAGAGACCGATTGATTTTGTCAGTGTAGTAAGATTTCTCGCTCCGAAAGGGTTGTTCTCCGAACTTTTCGCCAAGTATTTGCGACCTATTTCACTCGTGATAAATAGTAGTGAATCAATATAGTGATATTGATAATTGCAGCTTAATCAAAACAAAAAAAATTCAAAAGGATTTTTATTTATCATCATAAATGTGTGTGTTATATACGTATAGTCTGAACTGGAATAAATGAAAAATACTATAAATTGTTAAAATAACTTTTAAAAGATATAAGTATCGATTCTTTAACTTTTTCAATTTATGCTGATTCTTTAATAAATCGTGTTATAATGTTCAATTTTTTTATATAATATAGTTGAAGTACTAAACTCTTGACGTGTACTAAATTCTAGGGTAGATTAACGATGAAATGAGAAAGTAAAAAATGTTGAAAAGTGTAACTTTTAAAGTATAAAAAACACTTATTGAGAGATATAAGAATCGAAGACGCTTCTTTAACTAACTGCGTATAAATATTATCATAGACTTCTCCAAAAAATAAGATTATAATGGTTTAAAACGATTGTAACAGTAACAAAAAAGTACTAACAATAAGTCAACAATTATATTCTGGAAAGATATTTACATGTATAAATTTATATACAAATTTAAAAGTAAACACAACATTATCTTGTTTGGTGAAAATGCAATTTTTGATTTACTATCGTATGTTTCATACTATTTCATTAAGAAGATATTCACATAGTTTTAATATTGTATTCAAATTATATTTGTAGATATTTGTGATTTTGGATGATTCCTGGTGAAGCACCCCAAATTTTTGGTAATTTACGATACCTTAGCCGATTGTTCTATCTTTTGGTAAAGTTTACCTGTTAGATAAATCTGGCAATTCTCGCACGTGATTGGGTAATCTTGCTATTTACTTAACAGTAGTTTTACAAAACTATGTCAACCCAACTTAAAAAATATAATTTCGAAAAAGAAATGCGTTAAAAGTTTCAAATACATTACAATTGCAATATAAAAGTTTCTCAATCGATGATTTTATAAACATCTATATCTTCGTTATTTGGACAAATATCGGTAAAATCATTTAGATATTTATTTTGAAATTCTATAAATATTTAAAATATATTTCTAAAAAAATCAATTTTTTTGAAATTGTTAGACTAGAACACTCTTAATTGCTAAAAGATAATGATTAGTTACTTATTTAAAGTATCGTGGTTTTAATTAACTTAAAATAAATAATTCATAATTCTTGTGTTTGAAATGTCGTTCTATTGTTGCAGAAGTGTATAGTGTCATATATGATTTTACATATAAATTTTGACGACTTTCTCATTGACGAGTCCTTGTTTTCAACTTTATGATTTGTCCATTGATTAGTAAGTAACTGATGGTCAATAAAATCTTCGTTAACAAGCGAAAAAGAGTCTATAGTGATCCAATAGTCAAAATATAAATTATGATGTCATGTTAGAAAATAAGGGATTTTAACACTGAGCATCTTATCGTCATTAACGTACAAATTCAAAATTGTTACTACCCGTAATTATGTTACGTTGATAATTAATTGTTAGTATATTTAAAAGCTAAAGAAGGACCCCTGTAAGTTCGAAAAAACGTATTTTGTTTAGTGCAACTTGATAATACATCTTTTAATTGACATCTGAAATATAGTAGCTCGATTATGTATTGACCGTTAATTTAATTTAATTTATTTATTACTTTGCATAATACAAGCGATATCATACAAATAATTATTATCTTTCAATATTACATTAGCTAATATTAAATTTCAGTAAGGGTATATTTATATTATAAGCATTAAAGCGCGGTTTAATATTTGAAATTTAAATATACATATTTTACTATTTTGATATTTAATGATTGCTCATCTATCAGCGTTTTTATTTTCTTTTATTTTCATTCAAATTCAATGTTATATTAAATTTTCTGATTGAGAATAGTCGATAATGTTATTATTAGAATACAATCAAATTCGAAAAATTTTTGTGTCACTTTTCTTGCGGAAGTGCAATATGTTTTAGATACAAAAAATTATCTGTATTATATATTTATAATCTAAAAAAATATAATACGTTCCTATCAATGCAAATGATGAGATTTATAAAATTAAAATTTACGAATTAAGCAATAAATTTTGTTACTTATGCATACTTCATACATTCATATAATGTATAATATATCTCTTAATTTAAATAACACCAAACAGAGACGCGTCTCTCATACAGCCTTTGTCAAGTTTAGAGTTACAGCTAGTTGCGTATACGAGTTGTTATCAAACGTTCTTCACTGTTTTGTCAATATAGAGTGTGGCATCTCGTTCGTGTTAATAATGATCGTCACTCATATTGGTGTCGATGTCATTTATACACCGTGCATCTTCCATGTTATAGAAGGACATTAGTATACGATCCTTCGTAAACTTTGTGCTTGTATTTCTGATCCGATAATTTTATTCGTTAGTTTTTCATTGGTACAATATAAACGTGCCGATATGTAAGTATATCAGAAAAATTAATCGTCGTTAAAAAAATCATGTTTACAAAATTATCATTCGAAATTTAATTTAAAACTATTTAAAGATGGGTATACGTAGATATTTTCGAGAGTTTCGTTAATTCTCAAAAATGACTTATCGTTACGCATGACATATACAAGCTTTAACAAACTGAATAGCTTTATTTGAGTACTTAAAAACAAGCTCTCAGTGATGTCCCATCCAAATGTAGTATATTAGAATTGATTGCAAGGATTGTGATGTATTCTATGTGGGCCTAACAGACCGAATACTTAAAACAAGAATTAACAAGCATAAGAATCACATATATAAATTAGAATACAGCACAATATTCGGTAATCACAGAACACAGAATTACTACACAGAACTAGAATTATCGCATGATTTTGACTGGGATAATATAAACATTTTTGATAAGGAAAGTTTTTTTAAAGAAACAACGATATCAGAAATGATTTTTATACTCAAACAAAAAAATGGTTTGAATGTAAAAAAAAAAATAACATGGAACTTTTAGATCTTTTATATACTTCTTTTATTTTTAAGACTTGATGCTTTCCCCTCTTCATTAGCATCTATTCATTAGTGTTCTCTCGTATTATTGTTCAACATATATTTCTCATTTTATCTGTGACAAGTGTATGAGTAACGTCACAATAACGAATGTCCACCCACGATTTACATGTAAGTACTTCAATTGTATGTAAAGTTTTCTATTTTAGTTTTACAAACTTTAATTTATTGTGTTATCGCTTTAGTAAATCTGGTAATTTAATGGACATTATTTGGATTACCTCGTTGATTCAATACTTAATGTTTTATATCATTTCGAATTGTTATGACCAATCTTTACGCGACGAGTAAACGATTTTAATTTGTACACTACTATCAACTTATTTGACACATTCCAATTAATGTAGAAATTGTTAACTTAATTATTGAGGAGAAACTCACCTTAACCGTGAATCGAAATGTTTAATTCAATTTTTATAACTTAACGATTACACAACAATATCCAGTGTCTTAAAGATTTTTTATTTCATTTGAAATTTATTAATTTCTTATTAATATTGGCTTAATAAATATATTTTCTCATTTTCTTATCAACATTCCATGAAACATTAATCTTAGCGCAATCTCAGCGTTTAATTAATTCTCATTATAAAAAACTGCAACGTCCATTATTCTTTTGTTATTACAAAAAATAATAACATAGAGTAACTCTTTCTTTCCCCGCATAAAACTAGAACACGTTTTATATGCGCTATCTACACTAAAAAAATCAATAGCTAATTGAAGTAAAGTCCTATCTCCCGCAAATACTGCCAAACCCTTGTGTAAATTAGATACTGTGTGTCTCGTAACATTGGCACGGCAGTCGATGTAAAGTAAACAGTAATGATTGGTAAAACGTACAAAAAATCGAATCCAACGAAACTGGCTTAAGATAATGCTTCTATGAATCACGGACAGTGTTATTGGAAAAAAAGCATTCCCATAAAAAATGCAACGTGATTCACTGTTCGCGGTATTGATAAAGAGTAGATTTCTGAAAAATGCGGGACGGCAGTATAGGTGAAGTCCCTATGCTTCAAAATAATAACTTTATTAAGAGTTCTAGATTATTTGAAACAAAAGGAAAGATTCTTTATATAGTTTTTAAAAACATTTCCGTTTATATATATATAATGACACTAAAAGTAAATTTTAAAGAATAGGGATGCTAACTTTGTACCCAAAATTAACATCGAATAGCTCTGAATAATAATTACTCGATGTCTTTGGACAAGTACTAGAGCACTTAATATTCATAATTTTTTATATTCTTTTTTAAGAAAATAAAAAACTTTTAAATATGATATTATAAGTACTCTATAGTACTCGTCAAGAAATTGCAATAACTAAATTTTCTTTACGCGTTTTCTATGTCTAAATATAGTTTTATTTATAGGCGGCAACTCACAATTTTTTCGCATCCAAACTAAGAATTGGCGAGGAAAATCTCAAGGACTGCAGAGCAAAATTTATTCCAGAATCTTGATTTCACCGTTGACAACGAAGACTTCACACAAGAACCTCGCAGATATGTCTCGAGTCCCCCTTATGGCACCTGAAAGTGGTTTACAAGTCACAGAGGGTCAAAATTTCGTGATGCTTGAGGTACGTTCTAAACGTAAATACCAATTTTTTTTAGAGTTGTGTAAATATAATTTTTAATATAAATTGTATACAAGATGTTTTTATTTAATAACGATTAATTAGGCATTTAAGTGTTTGGAAATAAAATGAACTCTGTAATACAAACAAAAAAGTACGTTTATATTATACTTTTGTTATTATACATTTGAAACTTGGTTAGATAACGTGAGTAGGAAAGTGCGTTTGGAAAGAGCTTCGTGTATTTTTAATGTTTTTAGGACAATAAGTTAAATATTGTAGATAAGAGTAACGAAATTATATAATTGTAGTAAAAATTAAAAGACAAAGGTAAGAAACAAAATCTAAAAAGAAATTAATTAAAGAGAATATAAAATAAAAAAAAAGTCAATAAGATAAAAATTTAAAATTTACAATTAATTAAATAATAAATAAGATAAAATTAAAAAATATTAAAAGATAAGATATGAGAGAGAGAGAGAGAGAGAGAGTAGAGAGAGAGAGAGAGAGAGAGAGAGAGAGAGAATGTGTGTGTGTGTGTGTGTATGTGTGTGACATTTAAGAGAAAAGAAATAATGGGGGAGCAGAGAGGAAATTTAATATACACTTAATTTATAAATAATTGTAAAAGGTACGTGAAGTGAAGATAGACTTGAAAGCTTAAATGTATTTTCACTTTACTTGCTTTTTACGACTATTATCTGGAAGGAGAGGGGATAAGGATAATTTCGGCCTATTTTTACAATTATTTTATAACGATCTTATTATTTTGTTTTATCTACGTTCTTTTTATTTACAAATGGCATGTAAGAAAAACTTTCAACTTTTCCTTCTCCTGATCTAATATAACCGCGACTAATCGCGAAAGAAGAGTAAAAATCAAGATAAGAAGAGAAGCACTGATTAACATGTGAAATAAAGAAGATAGAGGAAAGGAAAGATATCGAAAAATGGAAGGACGGAGAGAAGAAATACAATAAAGAAAATTGGGGAAGGTTTAAACAGTACCATGTACGGAGAAATGGTTAAATGAAAGAAAACAATGGGCAAAGGAGCATAAGGTAAAGCAGAATAAAATATGAGAAAAGGAAGCAGAAAAATTACAGAAGATGAAAAATTCAGTAATCTAAGTTTTTACGGTCACAAATGAAGAAACAGCATTCTTTATACACTAAATCTGATTGTTTTAATTTCCGTTGGAGTTTTCCCTTTCAAATAAAGGAATTTTGTTGTAGCATGATACTGCAATTTCTCCACTTTAGAAGACTGGCAAAAACAAACTAATCGCTAAAATGATATCAAACTGAACTTTTTGTGTTTCGTTCATCTATTGGACAAGTATTGAAATTTAACGGAAATCTGACTCTTTCTTGGTCAGGTCAGAAACTTTTCAGTCTACCGTATATCGAGGAGAGCAATAAAGAAAAAAGGCTGAATGAAAATTGAAGATTGTGCATAGATAACAAATAGGACTTTAGCCGCGAGATATAAGTATAATTAAAGTTAGAAAATTCATAGAAATAGAAGAAAGAGGATCAAAATTGTAAGGAAAGGATATCTAGAATAAAAAAAAGTATATATAGAGGAGAGATAAGTAGAGTATATTGAAAGTAGATAAGATAGGAATAAACGAGAAAGTGTTGTATGTACGCCGAGATTGGTATATATTGGGGATTAGATTTAAAAATAGACAGTATAGAGAGAGAATGTGTGAATGTGTGGGAATAAAGAAAGAATTGTGTGTATCCCTGTCTTGATTTGTAGATGCTGATGGAAATAAGAGTTCTTTTTCTATTATATTTTTGAATTGCGATATATAATAAGTCTTATTTTATTAATATAAACTGTATTATGTTCTATATTTTAATTATCCTTTTTAAAATTAAAGTCATAAAAATATAGAATTATCTTTCTTCATACAAAATTTTAGTACTACATAATCAAGCTTTAGTACGTGCTAAGATAAAATTGATTTGAAATTACATACTGTTATATTCGCACATACAAATGTACTATAGTAATAATTGTAACAAATTATGTAGGCTGGATTACCTGGTGATTCGTGGACGTACTGTGTCGAAAGGGGACGATTGGCCAAAAGGTCAGAATGGTTTCGGGCAATGCTTACTGGTCCGTTCGCTCCTCCATTGACGGATTCACCGCCGTTATTGCGATTGGAACACGTTGATAAACGAGCATTCGATCACCTTCTCACGTAAGTATTAAAACTCTACAAATTTTCTTCTCATTTCAAGAAAATAATCTTTCGAGAAAGTACGGAAACCGAGAAATATACCCGATACAATTTTTTACATAAGAATTTATATACTATAAATATATAAGATAAATATTACACCAGTTAGTAGATATGACTCAATTCATTGGCTAAAGCGGTATAAAATTTTAAATATTAAGTTTTTAATGTGTGTGTGTGATATGTATGACTCAGTAAATTTTTGTAAATTGATAGATTATTTTGGATAGACAATTAAAGAAAAAACATATTTTTGGTAGTTTTCATTATTGTTTATGTGTATAATTTTAATGCTATCTCTTACTTTGGTTCAATAGCTTTTAATCTATTTCCTAATGTACCAAAACAGAATGTCTTATTTATCCTTATTATCATTTTCTTATTTCTTACTTTTTTAACTATTATCATATTTTCTTAGTTTCTTTCCATTTGCCTTATATCTTTCTCATGTTTACCTTATAAAATAAAATAGTCATCCGAAACCAAGGTCGGTATTTACAGTCGATTCTTATATTTGAAATATATAAGAGTAGTTAATTTTTTAATATTTGATTTGGATATTTGTCTTAAGTACAGTTTTAAAATGTCACAAGCTCCACAAATATTGCCTGCCATATCTCATTGTTCTATTGAATGAGGTATTCCTCATTGTCATTCGACGCACAACAAAAAAAACAACGTATGATATGAGCAGCTTTAAAACAAGAAAGATTTTGAACCCACAATTTTAAGAATAATTAAAATAAATTAAATTAATAGAGTATATTTCTGAAACACAACTGAACTATCATAGTAACATCACAAATTAAATTACTTAGCAATTTAATAATTTAATACTCTAATTGGCATTGTTTTAAGAAATCTTAATATATTGAAAATCTGTAAATAAATTTATTCATTAAATCTTATACATTTCGACAGAACTCGCCAAGAACTGTCTAGAATTCCTATCAGAACTACTCGGTACTCCCAAAAAATTTTTGATTAAAAATTTTTTTCCAAGTCCCACGTTGGAAAATTTTTTGAGAGTACCGAGTAGTTCTGAGTAGCGTTTCTTATAGTTCTCGACGAGTTCTATCGAAAACTGTAAGGTGAAAAAGCGATTGGACCAACGGTTTGCAAGATACAGCGACATTTGTCGGAAGATCAACAATTCTTAGAGTGAGTGTATCTCGGAAACCGTTGGTCCAATCGCTTTGAGCCCTGATACTTGCCGAGGTAATATTTTTCGTAATAACGTTTTAAAATATTTATACGAATATGAATTGTAAAATATTTTTTATCGAATATGGTTGTTCAAAAGTAAAATTCCGAAAATGTTCTAAATATTAGAATCACAGAGATAGAGAATTATCTTTTTTGAACTTCATATTTTGTTTCTATTAGTTCATTTTGTTGCATAGATATCTTCATGACAAGCCCGTCAATTTTATATCGGTATCAACGTCCAGAGCCACGCTCGATGCAGCTCATCAGTACCTTTGTCCTGGACTCGCGCGACTCGCCGTAACATATCTTGAGAGGCATCTCACACCTTCGACCGTGCTCGAGATTTATCAGGGTCTTGGACTCTACGCGAACGATCTGCGAGAAGATGATTCCAGTTTTGACAGATCGTCAAATTCACCGTCGACACCATTATCGCCCGGAGACGATGCCAGTGTAATAGGTGCGTCATTGATCTCTTTGGCAACAGTTTCGCGGCTGTAGATGAATAAAAATAGCATGATTATAGTATTAGAATATTTGGTAATAACGGTACGGAGAAATTAATAATGATTTATAATAGATTCGTCCACATTGCAGCTGCTGTGTGCACCGATCTTCTGCTCAAGTGCTTGTACGTAATCGATTCGAATCCAGTCAAGGTGCTACGTCAGGAACAATTTGAGGAGCTTAGTGCTCGGGAAGTCGCCCAGTTAGCACGTCGCGACACTTTGAATATCACTAGCGAGTCCATCCTCTTTAACGCGTTAGATAGATGGGCCGCAGCCGAATGTAGAAGACAAGGCGTCGAGCCCCTGCCAGTCAACAAGAGAGCCGCGCTCTCGGATGACATCTGCTTCAGCGTGCGGTATCTTCTTATGAACGATCGAGAATTCGTCAGTGGCCCCATGGCGAGCGGTATCCTGACTAACGAGGAATGCGTCCACATCGTTTCTAAAATACTCAGACATCCCGAGGATCCGAAAAATGAGAACGTAAGCATGCGCGTTCTAAAATCGAGAATTTCTTCGCTATTCTATCTGTCTAAAGCTATTATGTAAAGATATCAATCAATTACGTGTAAAGAGTAAATTTCATTATTTAATTTAATTTATTTTATATGCCTGTTGTTGTATTTCGTGTTTTATTTCACGTCCAATTAATTTTGCATTTAATAATAATAATATTGATCGTAGAAGATATAATGAAGCTTATAATAGAAACTTTCCTTTAAACATTTACAGATTCGGAGCAGCGCTCTAGACATCCATCCGTTTAGGTTGTCCAATGCGCCTAGGGTCGCATATAAACATGAGAATCAGGACTGCAACTTGTTAAGGCCGGGTAAAAAGGAACGACAGGACAATCGGAAAAATAGAAGAAGAGAGTGTGCTAGTCAAGGACATAGGGCGTGCGCTAGAATAGGAAATTGCCTCGTACGAATTCTAGCTTGCGTGTTTGATTAAACAGTGCACTATAGAATCATAATCGCAAAACTTCCAAATTTTCATTGAAAAAGATTCGGTTGTCTTTCTATCGTTTTGTTTTTCGGTTACAAATTCCGTTCAAGAAATCGAAATATAAAATAATACGTATTTAAATGCGATATAAAAGCATGAAGGACATTTAATGATCGACTTAGAAATAACGATACACACGCGTTCGATTACGATCAAGTCAAAAGATATTCAGTATAACTGCATAATTTAAATATTATAGAATTTATAAATTGTAGATATTTACTACTCCTTAATATTTTTTATGAATGCGAAAAGACACAAGTAATTTCTATCATTGCCGGAATATTAAGCGTATCATGCAGTCGCGTCAGCTAGTTGAAATCTATACACATAGATAATATTTTTGAAGATAACAGAGACTGAAGTACTGAAAGGGGGAAGTTTTTTAATATTTTTAGAGGGTATATTTACATCTCCGGCGGACTTTTTATCGGCAAGACGTTATTTTAAAATAATGAAGAAATCGCGCATGAAAATTGAGAACATGTTTTATGCCACTTCCATTAATATTATGAAAATTTTGACGTTTTGTTATATATACATATACTTGGGAAGATATTTTATCTTCTTGTTTGCAATTTTGCGCAAGATCTGTTGCTACTACAACAGTAGGCTTTCGCTACAGTCGATAGACGAAGTCACGACTTTCGCTGTTTTGAGATTATGCATTTTTCAATATATTTTACACATTTTAAACAGAAACAAAACTTTAAAATATTTATCTGATTGACGGAAAAAAAAACTTTATTTATACGCATATAAATTGTTAATGGTCCAACTAAAACGTACCTTCTTCATAAGCGCCTTTCCCAAACATTTTTTACAATTTAAATGTTCGAGAGTATTATCTATGTTATTCTCTAAATGTGAGACTATTGAGTGTTATTATGACGTCTTCGTTGTGTTCATATTTGCTGTTCAGAGTATATTATATCTTTAAATTAATTATTTGTATTCTGCATAGTACGTAGAGCTGCAGCTGAGAATCTGAGAGTTGTTTAAGGATATATAATTATTTTATAAGTATATTATTATTTTATAAGTCGGATCAAGAGAATTATCAAGTATTTATATATCTCCAATTGATTTTTGAGAATTTTATCTTTCTTATTTGTCTAGAATCTCTTTTTGAGAATATCTAAATGTCTATCTGTTTCGCAATGAATAGAAATATGATTGTAAGTTAGATACTTTAGGGAAAAAGTTTCTGAAATTATTATATGTGCGGTAAAAAGGTGACGTTATTGAAAAAATAGGAATTGTTTTAATTGATGAACTATTGATAAATTTTTATTTTAGCTTCGTATAAGAGACATCGTTTATAATATCGTTGCCATATACAATCATTGTTTTTAATCGGATTATTGACGTATGTATAACAACCTTCGATAGAGTTACAGACTGATCATGCGGCCATACTTATATTTAAAATCTCTGTGATTGATGAGAGAATGAAACCAATTGAAATGAAACAATTCAAGCGGTTTCCGATACGTCTCTCCCCTCCCCATTATTTACTTACGATATAATATTATTTTCTATTTTTATTGTAAGTCTAATTCAAGTGCGATTATATAAATAATGTAAGTTCAACTTTGCAGCGAACGGTAGTATTACGGAAAATTATGAGTACTAGTCATACAGATTTATTTTCCAAATAACTCAGTTATCAGATGTATTCTTTATTTCTTATATATATTATAAAAAATAAAATGAAATAACGTAGATGAAAGATAATGTGAAATACATAAAGTAACAAAATATAAAATAGTAAAATGTGTTGTAATTATAAATTGATATTTAGTATAAAATATATCATCTATGTAGTAAATTGTTGGATGAAACTCATAAAGAAGCAATGTTAATAAAATAAAAAGAATATTGAGTACACAACTTCTGCATTAATAAAATTGTTAATAATTAATTATAGTTGTTAATAATTTGTATATCAAAAAGCCATTTTAATCAAAATTTCCCCACGATTTTTCATATAATATTTATACATACTTTTTAAATATGTATTATTTATTTATTTATCTCACTGGATGTTGCTATATCCAGCAGTTTATCGGCCATTTCTTGAAATCGTTCCCATTCTTCACAATGCGATAAGAGCAATGGGCTGAAATTTTCACAGCCATAAAAAGCACCTGCTATTGCACCGGCCATACTAGCAATCGTATCTGTATCGCCCCCCAAAGAGATCTATAAAATAGCGATAAAGAGACATGATTATATGTAAACGCCATTATTTAAATATTTTACCTATATCTATAAAATCGATAATAATTATTTGATCTTTTATACAAGTTCCGCTTTGAAACTTATCATATAATAACTCAAAAATTAACACTTACGGCATACTGAATTACTCTTCTGAGAGGATTATCAGTTCGTATCTTTTTTATGCGTCTCTGTGCTCTCAAAAAGCAGAAAATTGCGGTGGGAACCGATTCTAATGCTGCGACATTAACACCCAATTCTTCAGCTACCCGTTGTTCATTATTAGACACAATAGTGTCAAGATCATCCCCATCCTCAGAAAGTAGATTCTTTACTATGTTTAGTCGCTCTTTATACAGTTTGCTATGATTTATACGCTATAATTGATATTTGTTTAAATGTAATAATATGTTTCATAATATTAAATGTACCTTGCATCGTCTTCGATCTTATCCATTTTATTCACAAGATCGTCAACAAAATTTAAAACGTTTAATTCTTCGCTGGGATTTAAACGTAAACTTTGTTGAATTGCTATAGCCTGTGATAATAATAGATTTTTATAACAGATATCTATCAATAAAAATATATGTATACATATAGATATGTATTATATATATTCTTATTGATAAAATTAATTACTTGTAAAATAGCACCATTTATCCCTAATTTGTGTGTATGTGTAATTTCCGTTGCTTCTTTTACATAATGTAAAAGTTTATCATAATTGTTGTAGGAAAATAATGCAACAGGTGCAATTCGCATTGCACCGCCGTTACCATAAGAACCTGAACCGTCAAATAAATTCTTTGCTGGAATTTTTACATTTGTTTCCTCGACACATTTCTTCCATTCTTTAAGTACCTATATATACATTATATATGTATAGTTGATTATTATAAATTATTATTTATCACAAATTATAATTATATAAACCATTTATAATTATAAAAACAAGAAAATTATAAAAATATCTTGTAATATATGCAAGCTTTGTGCTACGTTATTTATAAGAAATCTAACTTTTTTTTTTAATATCGGGAAAAAACTTAAGTTATTGCTATGCCTGAAAAAATAGTTCTGACGATAAATGTGCATTTGTGTCTTCGAAAGCATCACTTTTCAGAACTGTGTATACAATTTACACAAAATTTTAATAACTTTAACATTTTGGTTTGCAAGACACTTGATCAACGCATGATTCTGAGCAATGTTTCATACAATATAACTATCTATAATAGACATCCTTAGGACGTCTTTTAGGACGTTCTTTGGAGAACTGTGCAAGACTTATGTAAGACGTTGCGCAATAGCATTTGATACTATTTGTTCATAATTAAACCATCCTTGAATATTAGATAATTATTAATTAATATATTAGTACATATAATTGTATTAGTAAAAAAACTAACAGTTACAGTACCAGCTCCATAACGACGATCAGGCTGTTCATGATAACTTTTTGCAAATCGCTTGGCTAAATCAACAATATCCAGCTCTTGTTTCTCAATCAATGATTCAGCTAAAGAACGTGTCATTGCCGAATCATCTGTATACTCCATAACAGGCTCTACACAATTAAGTTCTCTGTATGAAAAATTGTAGCTTACTTTATATAAAAAATAAAAAATGTGAGACATGTAGGAAGTTCAAGAAATATTTCCCGATTTTTATATTTAAAAATAAAAAAAACAAGTTTTAGTACATATTATATGTATGTACCATATATATATATACTGATCAAATTAACATACTGGACCTTACAAACAAATGTGTTATTAAAGGCAGGGGTCAAATTAGTTAACATGAAATTCAAATTGAAATTATTACGTCACATGCAAGTTGGCTTTATTACAAATTATAGATTTTTGTGATCTAACCTCTGAACTCTATATCCCACAATTGATTCAACCGTCGCTGCAAATAGCTTTTTTTTTGAGCTGATACAGTCTTTAAGCCTTCGTACGGACTCCCAAGACAATCGCCGACCAAAACTCCTAACATCGTACCGCGAAATTTACTTTTCAATAATACCGGATCCATCCTTAATTTTACGTGATTTTATTTATGTTTACGTGAAAAGTGAAAATCTAATCAGTGTTACCAACCTATTGCTATATAAAATATTTTACCCTAGATTAAATTTAAAATTCCCCCAGGTTTTTCTAGATTTTAATTTTCATAGAAAATAAAGGTAAACATCAATATGGGCACATATATATATATTTCAAAGCGTCTCCGAAGAAAATTTTATATAATTCACATAACATATTATATTATGTAAAATAAAATCTTCCTCGGAGATGATGTTTCGAAATACAGTCTATATATATTTATTTTATCTAAAAATTTTAATAAAATTAAAAATATACAATAAGTAAATAAATTATATTTTGTAATTTTTATTGTTAAAATAATTGTGTAGTTTCATGTATTTCTATATTTTATATAAATTTTATTCAAGAAAATTTTCTTTATTAAATAGTTTGATAATTCATAGACTATGCAGTAATTATAATGATGAAAATTTATTCCTTCTCCTCCACAAAAAAACATCAGCACTTTTATATATTCCCCAGATTTCTCTGCGCAAATTAAAAACCTCCTAAAGTTGGAAGAAAAAGTCTTCACGTTGGCAACACTGCCTTTGAAGCGCATGCTCGGAATCCGGGAAATATGGTATGTATGTACACACATACACATATATATACATTTATCTCTATCATATATTCCCCCCCATGTA